CTGGTATGACAAAGAGCCAGAAGATTCTGGAAATTCAGACTACGTCACTCCATGGGCCCTGGATCATTCCAGCACCACTGACTAGTGTGGGGGTTGGACTAGAAAGTTCCTGAGGAACCTATATGGGACCACCTGAAGCCAGAGGGCCTCAGTCCACTGTCTTATGAACCAGTTAAAGGTGGAATACAGTTTTAACACAGAAACCTGCTGCAGCTCCTCAGAACCATGCACAACCAGCCAATCAGAGATTTGGATTTTCCTGACAGGAAGTGGGTGTGGCAGCAGACAGCTGCTACTAGTGATGAGAGTCATGGTTCCTTCTAGTTCACCTATCGGAACCGTACCTGTCGGACCTTGTTGAAACGCACACATGGATTTTTGTTTTCCCCCAAAACAGCATTGATGTGATGCTGCAAGCAGCCATTCAGGAGCAATAAAATCGACCTCCCCTTCTATAGCCTAATGGTGCGTTAGTCAGATCTAATAACAGCTGATCTGATTGGCTGAACTAGAAAATCAGCTGGCGATCAGAATCAAGATGGTTGGCTGAACCTGTGAACGCTGGTTCACGAATGCACCACAGCCAAGCAGCTGGGACACTTTCCCGGTCCTTGAACTCACCATCGTGCACTAATCCACAGCAGTGTGGAAGTTATCCTTCCAGAATTACTTTCATTTTTTCACGCGCACACACACACACACACACACACACACACACACACACACACACACACACACACACACACACACACACACACACACACACACACACACACACACACACACACACACACACACACACACACACACACACACACACACACACACACACGCACACGCACACGCACACGCACACGCACACGCGCACGCGCACGCACACGCACACGCACACGCACACGCACACGCGCACGCGCACACGCACACGCACACGCACACGCACACACGCACACACGCATTCACACACACACACACTCACACACACACACACGGAGCAACAGGTCGTACGTGTGAATATGGACAAGCATCAGCGGTCTGACCCACTCGTCCTTGATTCGCCCGCTGACTGAGCTGGAAAACATCGATCACGTGTCCTCTCAGGACAATGCAGGTGGGTGTTCTGACCCAGAGGTCTGTGGCTCCTGGAGAACGTTTGGATGGACAGTTTGTTGGCTGGAGAAGCGTGGTGTGACAGAAGACGCACCTTGCTGAGTCAGACTTTAACTGGATGTCAGAGGAAATTTTTTCTGAAACACTTGGGTTCGTCCGCTGAACTCGGACGGATCGATTCATACTCCATCACTTATTCTTCCTCTAAAACCAATAACATTGAATTGTAATTAACAGGCTCTCCATGCACTGATCTCTGAGGTCTCCATGGCAACAAGCATCAATGAGTCCTCCAGCGCAGAAGAAGTGTGCACACGGCAGTGACCTGTTTGTGGTGAAACTAATCTGAAGACCTAAAGTCCCATTAGTCATCACTCACGAGTGAAATTCGTCTCCACATCTGACCCATCCCCATGGGGAGCGGTGAGCTGCAGCTGTGGCTGCGCTCGGGAACCATTTGGGGGTTTAACCCCCCATATCCAACCCCTTAAAGCTAAGTGTCAAGCATGGAGGCATTGGGTCCCATTTGTAAAGGATTTGAACCATGATCTCCCAGTCCCAGGGCAGACACTCTACCACTAGGTCACTGAGAAGGCCCTAACCACCATAAATAAAGCTCCCGTGGTTCTGATCTGTAAATCAGCTCATCAGGTTCCACGTGGACTCCAGTTCTCCTCAGAACCCACACAGAACTCGTTTTACACCCAGAACCCAGAAGTCGGACTCCTCTCGTATTCAGCACCTGAAACTACAGCTGTTAAAACCGGACATCCTTTGGTTTGGGCCAAGCTGGTCAGATCCAAACTTACTGGTTGTTTGTCTAAAAGTTACATCAGAAATAAAATTTTTACTCAGGATTAGAGCAGATTATTGTTCTGTTATAAATAATCCTGTGAAAATCCCTAAAACAGGACTTGATCAAACTGTCAGACATTTTTCCAATGTTTGCACAAACAGGCTTTTCCATACTTGTCTCGATAGGTCAGATCAAAGTTCTGGTGCTGCCGAGTCAGTCTGAGGTGAGGAGAACCCGAGCCGGTCAGAGGCAGGCTCACGTCGAAGCAATCGCTGCATGGCGCGAGTCTTCGTGGCGCTTCGCAGCAGATGTGACCGAGAGCGTAGCTTAACAAAAGAGCCGATTAGAAGCGCTCGTTGTTCCGCGTCTGGTGTGTTCCGGGCGTGAGCCGGTCTGAGTTGAGGAATTGGAGGAATCCACCCAGAAAAAAACATGGAGCAGCAATGCTTTGGTTTTAGAAGCTGCAGACAGAACTTTAGACAGTTTTATTCTGAATCCTGACTCGCCTGCTCAATGGTTAGATGAAAAAGAAAAACAGCTATTTTCCTGAGATTTGATGAAGTCATCAGGAGATGAGCTCACGTGTGTTTAACACCATTTCTGAGTTTGTTTCTCTATCTAATTAGTTTCTGGGGGTTAAAGTTCAATTTTCAAAATAAAAACTGGATATGAAACCATCCCACACCTCCAACTAGACTCTGCCCAGCTCAGGCCAACTCTTCTGAGATGACCTTTGACTTGACCCCCCCATCATCATCATCATCATCATCATCATCATCATCAGCTGTTTATCCATCAGAACATGAGAGTAAGCTGAACTCTTAAAAACAACCTGGGTGCATATTATTGTTTATATGGTGTCACTAATCCTGCCCATGCGGACAGAGGGGTGTAATTAGGCTGGTAGCAGGTTCAGGTGCTTTCAGGAGATAAATGTGTTTTGTTTTTATCAGCCGTGCTGCTGGTAATGGGAGTTAATGGGTAAAGCCTCATTAGGCGCTCACTGTATTCTGACTCCTCCGTATGACACAGTAAAGGGACACTGATGGATTCAGAGGACACGGGGACATAAGGGTGTTCTCCTGCTTTAGCACAGACTTGAGTTACCCGATGTTTGACTTCAGTTAAATCAAAAGGAAACTTTTTAACCCATAAATTAGCAGAACGAGCTCTTTAGTGGAGTAAAGGCCTCCGCTCAGCCTGATGAACCCAGGTCAGTAAAGCCTGTCCAGCTGGAGGCCCTTCTGCAGCTCATGAAGGTGTGTCTGCATGGATGAGACCGCTAACTGTATCAGGTCTTAATGAACCTGCCTCCTTGTGGGTCAATCAGCTGTTCTGGTGCCTGCTGACAGTTCAGGTTTGTTCTGCTGATTCCTCCCACAACCACCAGGACATTAATGTTTACCAGACACACACTTTTCACCACAACACCTAGTCTTAAATAAATAAATAAACCTGCACGACTCCTCAAATGTTCTGGGGTTTTATTTAGAAACAATCTCAAAGTAGGAAGTACAGCCATAGAGGAGGTGCACCTTTACTAGAATATCTTTGCACCCTCTTCACTGAGCCACCCTAGGTGCTGCGGAGTAGACACGGTTCTGGGTTTAAGGGCTGATCTCTGACGTGCTAACCTCAGCTTTGACCCCTAATCTGATTTATCTAACCCCTCCCCCAGAGCTGAAATTAAAATCTGGACCTAAGCCCTCTAATAACCCGAGTTCTCCTGGTGCCATTGGAGGCGGTCCACCTTAAAGCTGACTCCTTGGTGAAATTCTGCTCTGACAAATCTTTCTTCAAGTCTTCTCAGATGGATTTTGTTTGACTCAGACCTGCGTGTACAACAGAGACACTGTGGGTCTCATTTCTATCTGCAGCCTCATGTGCAAAAGAACAACCAGCTTGTTGTTCAGCGGTTTAGTCTGACTGCATCTCCTCTGCCCGCATGAGCTCCTCAAACGCTCAGACGTTCATTCAGCTTTCGGAGGAAAAGCACCTGATAACATCACCTCTTCATTCAGGTGTTTTTATCAATGAGTCGCTGAACCACAAAGCATCATGTCTGGACTTGCTGGAACTCTCCTGAGGCTGAGCCTGAGCCTCCATCCATATGATGATAGGAGGTCGGGGGTCCAGCGCTCCACAGCGTTGTAAGGATGGAGGTGAGGGAAATGTAGCAGCTGTGCAACAGATGATTTTCTATCACTGGGGAATATAATTAACTCCTGCTTTCATCCCACTAGCGTCATCAGGGGGCGGGGCTTACCTCACACCTGCCTTCCTCTGCACCTGCCTCATCTCATTTCAGCCTGGACCTAAGGGTTTTTTAATGTCTGTTGGTTATGGAGCAGAACAGGATTTAGTCTCTGGTGATCTGAGGTCCAGTTTTAGCTGGTTCAGCCTCCAACAGTTGAGCTCAGCCCACCTGAAGCTCACAACGGAACAAGAGGGCCCGCTCTGGTTTATCTAAGAAATATGAAAGATCAGGTTTTTATAACTCACACGATTCTGAAAGTAAAAATGTCTGCCTGACAGAGGACTTATTTTCAGCCGGACTAATAACTTTAATAACTTAGTGATGGGTTGTTAACAGACTGGGGAAAATGTAGGAATTTGCATTGCTATTGGACTCTGGTGCTTTCCAAACCGATTCTTTATCCTGATTATGGCGAGTGTGGCTCGGTTCTGATCACCAACTGAAGGTGCTTTTCTCCGCTCAGGAGCAGCGGGATCAAACCACTCATGACCTCCAGAAGCCTCTACATTTGGCTAAAGACTGTTTTGTTGTCTTTAGTTTCGGGTGTTGGGGTCTTTCTGTCTTCTTTATGGAAACTTCCATAAACCTGTTGCTTGTCCTCCTCACATCAGGGGAAGAACCACCGTGTTCCTGCAGCTGCAGCAGAACCTTCACTCCTCAGAGGATTAAGTTTTTACAGCAGGATCCGAACACCATCCAACAGGTCCGCACCCAACTTCACACGCGCGCACGCACACGCACACAACAGCAGCAGAACCGCGGCGTCATTGCAGTGTACGCGCCTGATTTCGCGCGTACATGCTGTGATTTGGTGATGAAGATGAGGATGATCAACCGTACCTGGAAGAGGCGCAGGATGTTGGCTACCATGATGGAGACGGAGCTGGCCGACGCTCCGATCACACCCACAACTTTCTCTGGTTTCACGAACACCGGCGGCTCCCCGTTGGTGCAGCGAACATCCGACGTGTCCTTCTGGATCAGCGCCTGCACGAATGTCAGCGACTGCTCCAGCGCGTACGTGTCCCGGGAGCAGGTGTCCAGGACCCGCGCGCCCAGCGTCACGTTGGGCAGCAGCTCCTCGTCCCCGTTAATCTGGTCCAGCGCGTACATCATCGCCTCCAGTCGGTGGATCCCGTTCTCCTTCTTGATGTCTCCGCACGGCATCCCCGGGACGCCCCTGGCGTGCACCGGGAAAAGCCCCCCCAGCGTCACGTCGCCCTCCACCCGGATCGAGTGCGGCGCGTAAATCTCCTGGGATCCGACCGCATCCAGCAGCACCTGAAACACCCACAGAACCCGGAGCTTTACGCTGGATCTGAGCTCGGGGGGCCCGGTCGAGTGGCTGCCCATGACTGGATCCGCTCCCTCTCCTCCAGCTGAGAAATCAAACAGCCGCGCCGCGCACCGGAAAAACGCGCAACCACCGCTTAAAACTCAGTTAGAGGATTCCCAAAGATGCCTTCATTTCTGTTGGGAATGCTGCTCCAAAATCCCGCAGACCGACAATCCACATTCAGTAACGCTTCATTCCCGCAAAGTGCGCGCGGAGCCGTCGCACGCCGCCGCCGCTTGTTGCTCCAGAATCCATCCCAAGATTCCAGCCCAGAAACAAAGACTCCGTTAACTCCTGCAGGCACTCCTGGCATTCCGTGAGTGGATACGTAACATCCCCACCCAGCCCACGTCCGAGTCTTATACCATGATCCCAAAAATGCAGTGATGAAGAGGAGGAGGAAGAGGTGTCACGCAGGTTCGAGCCAGAAAAACAAGACGAGGACCGCAGAGCTCCACACGAAATCACTGTGATCTGCTCACCGCCGAGCCGTGCGCGTGTCGGAGTGCTTGTGTGAGTCAGGCTCCTCCTCACCCACTCCCCACCGCTCCCCCCCTCACCTCAGACGGTCACCTGTGCGCGCGCTGCGGCCGGAGGAACCGGACGTGTTCAGCTACTCAGAGTCCGAACAGGAGCAATGAACGCCGGAAGAGTACGCACGAGTCGAGAGGAGCCCTGCGCGCGCTCCGGTACATCACACATGCACAAACGTGTACGCGCACACTACGCCTACGCACGTTAGTGTAATTGTCAGTGTGAGAATCATGTTGCCAAAACAACCTAAAAACCCACAATGGAGGAGGATTCTGGTTCCGTCTTCCGGAGGCGAGAAATTACAAAAAAAAAAAAAAAAAAAAAAAAAAAAAATCTGCAAAAGTCCAAAGAATAAATTATCAGAACCACGGAAAATAAATGTAAGAGGGATGAATCACGAGTTCTGGGATGGATCCGGAGTTCTGGATCAGGAGTTCTGGGATGGAGCAGGCCTTCTAGGATGGATCAAGAGTTTTGAGCTGGATCAGGAGTTCTAAACTGGATCAGCAATTCTGGGATGGATCAGAAGTTTTGAGCTGGATCAGGGGTTCTGGGATTGATCAGGATTTCTAGGATGGATCAGGAGTTCTGGGGTGAATCAGAAACAGTGGCGGAGCCAGAACGTAGCAAATGGGTGGGCCTAGAAAAATCTGGATGGGCCCAATTAATTTCAAAGCTCACGTAAATGTGCACTGTGCGCGTGCACGTCTAAATTACATGTTTAAATAAAATATCTCAAGCCACAAATAATCCTTTAAGATTATATATTAAATACTTATTCCATGGATCTCTGTTAAATTTCAATTTTAAGGACTGTTACCGACGCTGGACTCCCGCTCAAGACCTGCACACTCTCTCCTGTGAACTTTCAGGTTGGACAGGTTCTAATCTCAGCCAGGCATGCTGCCGTGCTCGTCTCAGCGTCCTAGCTGCAGGCTATCAGCTAAAAGCTGAAGATTCAAAAGACCGCAGCCTGCCAGAGGTCACCGCATGTTTCAAAAATCAGGATTTTTGGCTGATCTTCATGCTCCAGATAGCTCAGGATGCAGCAGGAGGTGGTGCAAAACCAGAAATCAGATCAGATGATTCTCAGCAATCGCGCCCTCCACCAGGGAATAATCAGCAAGCACAATCCAAGCACACGCGCACACACACACACACCTTGACTAAGCAGCGTACACCTCCGACCACACCCCCTCTCCTCACCGGCTCTCAAGCGCTCTGTCTCATTCAGGACCACGGACAGAGACGCGCCAACGCGGTTCTGGATGACTCATTACCTCCGGGATCTTCTACCTGAATCTCCGGTCCAGATAACAATAAAATGAACTGAACCAAATTAAATGGCCTCAGAGGACTAAAGCAGACCTGACGAGATACCCGGATGAAACGATTCGTTTACTTTACCAGATTAAAGTAAGTGCGAGGAAATGCATCAGATCAAAGGTCCTTGCTTGTCCGCTGCATGCTGTGCGTCTGTCTCCCCCTCACACCCAGTCCTTTCTCAGTTTACACCGCTGACAATATCAATAATGTCATCCCCACACTCCGGGAGATGCCCGGTTCAGCTGTGAGAAGTCCAGGGCAGGAGGACGCTTCTGAGAAAAAAGATTCATGAACCTCACTGGGTGGCAGGGATGGCATCAGAATGTTTTCTCTGCAGTAGGCTAATAGTTGCTTAGTGTCAGTAAGCCGGTGCCAATTCGCATTTAAGACCAAATTACAACTCCAACAAGCAAACTGGAATATTTATTCACATTATGATTAAAATTAATACCAGAAATAAAAGTTAAAGTATTTTTATTACACAGTGAAAAAAGTGCACATTCATAAAAGTCATAATTTTATATTGAAATTGTTGTTACAACATAATGCTATAGCAACACCAAGCTACTGCCTGGCCCTGCCCCTGGTGGGTGGGCACTCTGTCAGATTGGGTGGGCCTGTGCCCACCCAGCCCTACCCATAGCTCCACCCCTGATCAGAAATTGGCTAAATTGTGACACCTGGGTGAAACCAAGAGTGGTTTTGATCCGGTTCTTATTCTGACAAGAACGTCTCAAAACATTTTAGATTTTCAGCCTTTTGTCATATGAGAATCTCAATCTCGTGTCGGTGGAATGCTTTAAAAACTCTGGAATGCGTCTGAATTCTGTTAATCAGAAAGACGGGAGACAATTTTAGGAGGAGTTGGACGTGACAGGAAACTGCAAACAGACATAATAAAGATACTTTGGGACTAAACAGCAACAAGAATCTATGGATGGCTGCGTGGTTTGACTTTGATCACTTCCTACATCCCACCTGGCCCAGTCACACAGCACGGAGTGTCCAACTCAAATCTACAGATCCCAGTTCATCCCAGTAAGAGACTGGTTAGAGATGGGAGGAAAAATGCCTTTCATCACCTGTTTCAGGTACGGTAGCAAATCGAAGAGCATGCATCTGTCGTTTAGCTGAAGGTTGAAGCAAGGTGTAACGAAAGACTCCAACTTGTCAGCAATGTGTTGGTTCTGATTCCGACCGGATAAAACGGGTCAGAAATCAATGACTGCAGGACTCCTGGGAGCTGGTGAACTGTAGAAAAGGTGTGTGTGTGTGTGTGTGTGTGTGTGTGTGTGTGTGTGTGTGTGTGTGTGTGTGTGCGCACAAAAACACAGAGAAAACAGCAGGATGTTTTATCTGCTAAAAATAAAGTGGGATATTTAATTAAAGCAACCAGAGTGAGGGAGGCTCCTGCAGCTGCTACCACAGAATCAGGATGTTAAAAACATACTGGTTCCAGTTTAACAGAACTCACAAAACGTCCTTCAATCCTTCACAATGAGAGTCTCAAACAAAATTACAACAATGTATCTGAAGTTCTGAAGTGTGGATCAAGGGTGCAAAAGGGGCGTGATCACCCTCGGTGTTTGTGAATCGAGACACCGTACGCACTTGCGCCACTGGTCGTGATAGCGCAGTTAAGGGGTGTAAGGGTGGAAGTGTGAGGATTGGGATTGGGCCTCTGTGAGCTCTGATCTCAAACCAGCAGAAACGTGAACCGGACCTTTGAACGATGAGAGATAAATCTAGAAGATCCTTCCACATGAGTGCCTTAAAAGCTTCTTTCCTGAGTATTTCTCTTATCCAATGGCACCATCTAGTGGCTGACAAGCATATCACACAAAGAGTCTATAGCTCTGTTTTTTTTAAAGGTGGCGGCTTCACGTTTCTGTTTATAAATGTGCTTCTGTAGCGACAAACAGCTAAAACACGTTGTTTTACAAGCATGATTCTCATGTCATGTTGTGTTTTCATATATTTATATTTTAGAGACTTACTTGTCTGTGAAAAGTTCATCAACTCTGCATCAGCCGAGGTGTTCCTTAAATCTGAAGCTAGTAAGCGGTAGTCTAACGCTATTGGTTAATTCTGGTTGGCGCTCAGTTTCCTATTGCACGGAACTCTGCGGGGCAGGGGGTGTGGTTAGCAAAAAAAATAAAGACATATTGCTTATATTATGTCACAGAACATGATGAGATAATCACTTTCACGGATTTCTGAAAAATCATACATCATTTCTGAAAGGGGAAAACTCTGGAAAGCAGCTTTAAACCAAAATCATTAAACCTTGTGGTTGTTTCTGTTTTAGTTTTGATATAAATTACAGAAAATAACTTGTTCATTTAGTCTGCTTGTCGTCTATAAGAAAATAAAACCTTGTTACACATTTGATTTGGTATAACACAAAACACAGCAGGGACCTAATTGCGTCCACCTTTATGGTAATGAAGTTGGTGCTGGTCCAGCAGGTCAAAGCGCCAACATCATGAACACGGTCTCAGTTGGTTAGCTCCACAAATCCATTAACCACACAGATGTGTCTGATTCCAGAACCTGGAGGAACAGCTGGTTCTGATTAGGAACAACCGCCTCCCTCATAGGTGTGGACTTTTGTTGATTAAAACAAGTACGTGAGAGCTGGATTTACAGAAGGAAAACGGCTCCGTGAGAGACAGAAATGAGTAAAAGCCACCATCAGCTCTCCAGAGACCAAACCTCCTTGGCTGCAGCGACAAGTTCTGCTCATTAGGAGCAGAATCGGTCCTGGTGGAGTCTCACACTCACCAGAATCCAGGTTTAACATTTACCTTCAAGTGGTGCAGGAATCAGAACTGGTTGTTTCAAATCCTGTGAGCCTCAGTTTTTCCTCAGAAGTTTAAAGAGTCCAGTTGTCCACATCTAGGATGGAAACCACATCGGTCCTCCGGGATCCAGGGTTCAACCATCAAGTCCCGTGTCCAGCCTCTTGGCACACAGAATCTGAGAAATTGGAACACACTCAGTCGGCCATCTTTACGGTTCTGTTAATTTTCAGGTAACAAAGCAACACATTTATCCAGAATTTTAGACGTTGGTTCTTGTTTGAGTTCATGTTCCGGACAGGAGAGTTGATCAAAGACAGTTTTAGCAGAACAAACCTCCAGTAGTCTTGGAGGAGGAACGCTGCCATGTCGCGGCTGCTCCTGTTTTATAATTTGTCTTTGTGTTTTTGTGGCGTCCTGCCTCCGAAGACACATCGTTGTGTTGCTCCAGCTGCTAACCAACACCGTCAGAGTTCTGACAGTCCACGATGAGCTGAAAGAAGTTCAGCAGACAGACGCCGCCTGATCAAACACTTTGCATCATCTCACTTTGCTCCAGTTCTCCAGTTAACAGAACGCTCAAATGCATCACAGAGTCATCTGACGGCCTGCCGCGACTCAGTAAGTGGAAATGTCATCCCCCTATTAGTCTGAGAGCAACCAGCGAATCTTAGAGCGTCTGATCTTCTTTGTACGCCAAACGCAGAGCAGAAAGATCTTAATAATTACACCAGGTCTCTGAAACCTGCTTGCCTTCACAAAGTGAAACTATAAAGGACACGAAAATCCTGCAGCTCAGCATCACTGCAAAGGAGAACCTCTGGATGCATGTCTGAATTTTAACTCTTTAGACATGAGCAGCTTTCATAAGGATGACCCAAAAAACACGAGGCTTCATTCAGCGTAGGATCAGCCGATTCCTTTCTGAAAAAATCTAACTCACCTCTGCAGCTGCAGAACCGGGCCGGTTCCTATCGGCGTCTGATCCAGATGAAGGCGAGAAATTCGATCTGAAGAGCCTAAACATAAAAAACAAACAAACAAACAAACATACTTGCTTACTACGAGGATTGCTGTAAAGTGACTGACACC